TCAACCTGAAATGACTCATTTAGTCATCCATAACGTTATGGAACACATTAATTAACTGAAAAATGTTGCATAGTGTCCCTTTAATAGACAAGGGAACAAAAAAGTTTTGACAGATCAAAAATTTTTTTAATGAATAAAGTCTTTCAGATCCAGGTTCTCTATGTTAGAAATCAAAGCAGTCCATGTGAAGTCAAAGAGGGAGATATGTCATAAAAATAATTTACTTGGTCACCTAGTAATATGTATGTAAAAAGTATATGTAAACATGATTACAGACTAAATCTAAGGCAATTTTAACCCCTTCCTCTAACGTTCCAACAAAAGTAGATCAGGTAAACACGTTAAGTGCTTTCTTATCTCTTTTGACATTTTTGCCTGACTAATTTGCCATTTATGAGTCAAATTTCAAAATACCTTTTTGATTAATAACAAATTTAAACCAATTCTGTTTTCTACGAAAGAAGCCCCCCAAAAAACTAATGTCAAAGAAAATATGTAGGTAAGTTCTTCTTTAATCCAGATCTACTGTGTTACATGGACCCTTTTGCTCAGGTCAGTTTCATAAAGGAACACAAGAAAATTAAGATATTTGGTTGAGTTTATTTTGTGATTTAAATCTCTAGAAACACTATCAGAAAGTATGATATGCACATGATGTTTAATTTCTGTTATAACATGATACACTTTTTAAAGATTTTTTTTACTCTTTATTGTTTTTTTTAACCATTCCGGAAAACAAAAATGAAAGCATAAATAAAGATACATCTGAATAACAGATGGTTATATCCATAATGACGGAGATTTTTAATTGAAATTTATGATTTCATACAAACCTGGATGACTGTAAAATTTCTGCTTCTGAATACAGACAAAACAAAGGTTTTCTTCAAATCTTTGAAAAATAAGCTGATTAGTCAGTCAATGATCTCTGTAAAAATGCATAAACAATCTAGGTGTTTATTTTTGGACTTTTATTTAAATCCCATATTAAAGAGGTTTCTAGCATCAGCACAATATTACAAAATGGGAAATATCCTGTCCAGGGTTGATGCTGAGAAACTAGTCCATGCATTTGTCTTTGCTTCTTTTTCTAATTCTGCTTCTGTGTATTTGAACCCCAGTCAGCCTCAGCAGATGGCCGCTCACACTGAGCCTGGTTCTGCTAGAAGTTTCTTCCTGTTTTCCTCACCACTGTCGTTACAAGCATGCTTGTTGTGAGTCAACGAGTTGATGCAATCAGCTCATTCTCTTTAGATAGAAAACTTTGAACCATCTGACTGTATGTTCTTGTTGAATTGTCTCTGTAATGTGGCATGAGATGATATTTGTTGTGAATTGGTGCTATATATACTCTGATAAGACGCTTATAAGTACATGGGTATTCACCTGAACAATAAACTGGAATGGATTAACAATACTAAGACTCTCTAGAAGAAGGGTCAGGGGCCCGCTAGGAAGGCTCCTGAAGACCTTCTTTGACTCTGTTGTAGTATCTGCCATCTTCTATGAAGCTGTCTGTTGAAGAAGTGCCTTATCTGTGGCTGAGATGAAGCAACTAAAAAAGCTAATCAGGAAGGCCAGCTCTGTGATTGTCCCCGTGATGTCCCCTGGTCTAAGTACAGAAGGTGGGAAACAAAATGACCCTAACTAAAATACCATGTCTCTTAATGTATCTCCCATCCTATGCATGAAGAACTGGAGAACTCCTTCAGTGACTTATTGCTGCACCGTAAATGCACCAGGAAGCGTGATCACCGATCCTTCCTACCAGCAGCTAAGACTTTATAACCATTACTGTTCCCAACAACATCAACAAGTTGTTACATTCATGCTGTTTTTTGCACAGTTTCTGTCTTAGTCCCTTAAATAACACACTGCTGTTATGTACATCTCTGCTGTTGCTATTTTCCCATATCCACTACTATAAAAATGTCAACAGCTGTTTATTGATTATTTATTCTTCGGATGACTGCACAGTATTTATAATTGTAAAAAAAAAAACTTATACAGCACAATATTTTATTTTGTTAATTTTTTTTTTTACTTTTTTGTAACCTTATCACTTATTTTGTTTTATATATACAGTATATATATATATATATATATATATATACAAATTTAAAGTCTACATTGTGTGACCACTTATGCTGTGATGCTTTGATGCTGTAACATCACATTTTCCCTCTTGTGGGACAATAAAAGGGTTTTCTGTTCTATTCAATTTTATATAAATAAACTGAAATAAGTTGAATTGGCCTGACTGGTTTAACCATTAAAAATGAGTAAAAGATGATTACTCACAACACTTGCAGATATTTTGAAATTATGTGTAATTCAAAAATCTATTTTCCATTAAAAAATAGAAGGAGGTGTCTGGCAGTTTTTTGTAGACAGGACACAGTTAAACCCAGTTGCAGATCCCTTTCAGTAAAAGTTGGAAGTCTTCTGAAAAAGGTCTTGTTTTCCCCTCCAGGCCGAGGACAATTCAATATATGTTAATCCTGCATTCAGTTCCTGTTTTCAACAAAAAAAGAGTATAAATCTTGTTCCTTTTTTTTTTTTACATTTCCCCTTTTCAGCACAATGGCATCTTTATGATGTACACATTACAGTAAGAATTATAGTTACGCTTCTTTTAGAACAATAGCACATTAGGGAACATGATTAACAATTTAAAGAATTCAAAACCAAAAGCACAACAGCAAAACCATGCTGAAAATGTCTTCCTCTCGTCTCATTTATCCATAGTTACTTTCGCATGTGATCACCTGCATAAAAAAAAAACATTAAGTCAGTGCTCAAGTACTTACCATAATTCTAAAAAAAAAAAGACACTGCTTACAAAATAAAGAAAAATATAATCAAGTAATTCACACTTTTTCTTTTTTTATCAGGATTCTAATGAGACCAAAACTTACCTTTTAACAGAAAACTTTTAATTTGTTTTTTTCCCTTTTATTGTGTGACATCTCCTCATACACATGTTCTTCTTCTTTATTGGTCTTAATCCCGGCAACATTCTCATAGACCTGGTTTTCTGTCATGATGGGTTCTCAAATGGAGACCCAGTTATGCAGAACACCACAAGGCGGACACGAGGATAAAAGTTCAACAGTTTATTAAGCACAACACAATATGAACTGGGATCTGGTTCGGGCCTGGGTCCTGGTTTCACTGGAGTCTGCGTGAGAGACAGAGCTGTTATGAACTGCTGGCAGGGTTTGGTTTACAAGTGAGCTCAGATAGTACCTTGAGGGTTCTTGAGTAATTCTCCTTGGGGGAGTCTCTGTTGGCTCTGGAGAAGAGTTTATCAGCAGAGTCCGTAGCTGCTTCAGCGTCTCACGTCTAGCTTGGACAGACCTTAGTTTGGTTCTTCCAGCTCTAGTCCTGAGCTGCTTGGGATTTCTCAGAAAGTCTTCAGGGTTTGGCTCAGAGGGTCGGCTCGGCAGGTTAGCTCTCCAAGAGCTTTCACGGAAGAGACTCGGGTTTCCTGGGAACACAGAGAGAGAAGTTAGAATCCTATCTGGATTCAAGGTCATGGAGATTCACAAGGAGCAAGGCTTTAGCGCTGACCAACTGGAACAACACTGCGGCGTTGAGGTAAGGTCTGAAGGCAGCTTATGTAGTGGATCCTCTGATGGTCTTGATGAGCTACACCTGTGCAGGAGGCTCCCTCAGAGGATCCACGGCGGACTCTGCTGGAGAAAGATGGGATTTTCTCCAGCTCCCAACATTTTCTTTCTTATTTCCTTTTATTCCTGGCATGTTAACATAACTGTTATCTGGTTCTAAAAAGAAAAATGTTTTAGATGATTGTTTTTTCAAAATTACAATGATAGGTCCAAGAGGATAATTTACAAATTAAGCTATTTTCTTAAGCTCTGTTGTAAACGATACATTAAAGCCAATTTCAGCCTTCCTTTTTAGGGCTGGGAGATGCCTGCCAGGGAGACTGAGCTACAGTTAAGCCTTTAGCTAGACTCTAGACTAACTGTGGGGATCAGCGCAGCCTGCCGGGCACACAGTCCCGGAGTGCAGAAGAAAAGGCTTGTCGGTGTCTGTGCTGGAGGTAGGAGATGAAACAGTCCTTCTAGGGCTAAATTAAAACAGCTTTTTTTAAAGCCACCAAAAATATCTAAAGAGCCTTCCCCACTTCATCCTTTGTAAGCGTTATTATTTTCTCTGTCTTCAATTTTACATTTTTAAAAATGGCATAGCACTGTGTAATCCTGTCCTATGATCTTGTGATTAGCCTATTTATCACACTGGAAATTGAAGTAATCACACTTACAGAATAATGACACCTGATAAGGGAAAAGGATAGTAAACCAAGCTCAACTTAATCCCCTTTCTACAATTTCCAGTGTTAGATACGCTTTGTCTCCTCTCTTATGGTGTCACGTATTTTTGTATGCACTGTTAAAGCAAAATGATTATTCTTAGTTTTTAATACAGTTAATCTTATGGCATGTGTAAAAGGTATGTTGAACACTCTCATTTTGAACATATTTCTTAATTTTGAACAAGTTTGTGTTAATGATTTAAAACTAAACTATTGATGGGTAAGTATTCAAAGTACAGGAGGCCATAAAATGAGTATCTCCTGGGGGGGGAACATCATTTGAGCCTCAAGGGGAGAGGTCTGCTTGGTTTACAGAAGATCAAAAGTCTTCCAGAATTAAAATCTGGGATGGTGTGAAACTGAATACAATGTAGAATGTTAAAACACTAACATTTAGTTTTTTAATTCATTTTTTAAATGAAAATTGTATTATCTAATTTTAGAATTAACTAGTTTAGTAGATGATGAATGTATTTGAAAATTGTACTATCTGTGACAATATCAGAATCAAATGGAAATTGTTTGATGGAAAATGTTTTGTTTAGTATTAGAAAATTGCTTTGAGTTGGGTTTTGGCCTAAGTGTCCTAAAATAAATTATACTTACATGTGAACTAGTTACTTGGAAAGTAAAGTGAATAGAGTTACTCATACAAACCTTCTGTAGCTGATGGTGGATTCGCTTTTTTTCTAAAGATTGGAGGAAAACATACAAATCATGACTTCAACTATCCTCATCAGTTATTTAAAAAATATAACTGCCTTTAACTTTAACTAATTTTAAACAATCAAGAAAACAACTTTGTGATAACTCATCACAAAAAGTTGTATGATAATGTATTTTTTCCAACATGTAAAAACTTACTTTTTTTTATAGATGAAGAAGCCTCCAGTAGCTCCAGCAGCAGCAACTAACAAACATGCTATTACTATTCCAGCAATGGCACCTCCAGAGAGACTTGGTTGGTTTTCTAAAACAAAACAGAAGATAAAAGAAAGTAATTTATCAAAATTTAATATTTTAAACTAATATATGGATATAATAGTTAGTTAGTAACTGTAGTTAGTATATACAACACATGTACAGTGTACTTGTTTATTGTTAAGTGTGTTAATTATTGCAGCTGCCATTAGTATCACACATTTTTAGGTTTTCTTACTTAAATCTGAATAGATGGCACTAAGCACCATTTCTATGTCTTTTAGAGCCATTTTCCATTTTCTTTTAATTTCTTCATTAAAATCTCTAGTTCCAGTGGTGTGAAATAGGCACTTCCTGTTGCCCGTTGTCACATTGAATCGGGGCTCCATTGATAAAGGCTTTTCTTAATTGTTATGCATGCATTAACCTCTGACCAGACCTACTTACAGTTGATTAAAGTAATTCATAGCAGCCGCTGTTAAACTGAAAACTACTTTAGGCTAGATCGATTTAGAGTTGCAGATTTGAATCTTTGTTAAACCTGCTTTGTGAAATGAAGCCTATCACACCAAAACCAAAGCTGAGGCATTTTTCATGATGTCCAGTGTAATATGGAGTGTTTGGGCTCTTATACTGGAGAAACCAGACAATAACTACACAAATACATGGCACAACACAGAAGAGCCAGTAACTCTGTCCAAGATTTAGCTGAACACCCAGACATCAAGACCAAAGCACACCTTTGAAGATCAGAATGCTCAGATTTTAGACGGAGAGGATAGGTGGTTTGAAAGAGGTGTAAAAAAGGCCATCTTTGTTAAAAGGGAAAATCCATCACTGAACAGAGATCTTAAATCAAGTCATATACTTATTCCTATGAAATGACATAAGCACTCTCATCATGATTCGAAATTTGTTACGCATACCCCATATAGAACAAAACCCAATTATGCAAGCAGATTGATCATTAATTTGTATCTTGGAATGTGCTTAAGAGGATGGACTATGCTGCATAAATAATCAGCAATGCAACAACAGATTGCTCTGGTGTGAGCCGTCAGAATTGACAAAGAATCCTGGATAGCCTGTTCTGTGGTTGCCAGGACCCAGATGACATACTGTATTGATGCAGGGATGTCCCATGAAATAAAAGCAATTCATAGACGTTTGTGAATGTACTGTGACTTACCCACTATAGAGATGGATGCAAGTTGAGATGTTTGATATACTTTGGTTTTACTGTTAAAGGCCTGACAGCTGTAGTTTCCACTCTGATTCCTCTGAACACTGATTAGCTTGAGCTCATGTTCAGAATCAGACAAAAGTTTTTTTATTCAGGAACCAACTAAACACGGCAGCAGGTTTACAGGTTTATTAAATAGAAAACAAAAACTTTCCATTTTTTTTCTGTTAAAATCCGTTTATTGTCCAACAATGGGTAACGCTCTGCATTTTGACCCATTCCCTTGGGGAGCAGTGAGCTGCCATTGTGTGGCGCCCGAAGAGCAGTGGGGGGTTAAGGATTTTTGCTCAGGAACCCAGAGTGCAGGATGTGGGGATTGAACCGGGTACTTGCAACCTTCTCAGAGAACAAGTGCACTACTCTAAACACCATTTTACCACTGTAAGGGTAAAATATATCAGATTTGAAACCGTTTCATTATCTTCTTAACTAATTCACAGTGTAGACCAAAAATCAAACCAAAAATAATTAATAATCCTGGTTTATCTACACTTTCTGTCTTATACAAACCATTATTAATGTCTTTCAGTGGCCCAGCCAGACTTCTGACTACTTCAAAGTCCCAGAGTAAATCACCAAAGGCAAATTGTCGAAATCAAGTAAAGACATACAAAACAAAAATCAAAGGCACAGCAGGATTGATGTGACACACAAAATACTGCGTTCAGACTTAAAACGTCTTGAGTTTACATGCAGGACCAGTTTACATGCAAATTCTAAAGTGGACGTGCATCAAGGGGTGTTGAGAGGTCCAGGGGCCCATTTTGACCTGGCGGTATGTGTCTTAAAACTGTCTGAGGATCAGATGTGTTATGAGCTTTCAACTGCTGACCAGCATAACAAACATCCAAATTGTCAGATGCATGAGTTGTAACAATTAAACCTTTGTAGTTTGATTAGGTGCATCAACCAATGAGAGAAGCTAATCTGATTTACTTAATCACATTTACTGCATTCAAGCCATATCTCTTCTCCTGCTCCTCTGTCAGCATAAAATCATCAAAAATGAACAAGAACAGATGTATATAGAGTGAGTACACAGGTTTGCGTAAAAAAACAACAACAACAAAAAAACAGATGAATGTTGTCACGGTTGAGTGGAGGTTTTTGAGGACTCAAATGCAAAGATGAAGAGGCAGAGATAAATCTTGTAGATTTAATGAGATAACTGATTTAAAATTCAAAAACACAAAGGACCAAAAGCCAGAAAACATCAGGGAAAACTCATGTTAAGAGCCAGAGATGAGGAAGCAACTAAACAACAACAAATCAGCACTGAGTGACTGCAGAGGTGGTGTATATAAGGGGAACAGAACAAAGGATGGACTAATGAGCTGAATATGGAGCAGGTGTGAGTGGAACTAAACAGAAGGAAGCCAAAGGGAAAGGAAACAAGCACAAGGGGGTGACAGAGAGTAACTAAAGAACTAAACAGTGACAGAAAACAGCTACAAATAAACTTAATCAGAGGGCAGAACCCTGACAAATGTATACTTTGATCTAAAAGAAAATAGCACAGAATATAAGAACAGCTAATAATCAATACCTAGATCAACTTATAAAATCAAAACTTGCTGGCATAAGATGTTTGATTTTGTATTCTGGTATATACAGTTTTTATCAGAGATGGCAAAAGTACTCACTTTCCGTACTTGAGTAAAAGTACAGATACTTGTGTTAAAAAATACTCTGGTAAAAGTGGAAGTACTGATTAAACTTCTTTACTCAAGTGAAAGTAACAAAGTACAGGCTTGTAAATTTACTTAAAGTATAAAAGTAAAAGTTGAAACCACTTTTTTCATGCCGTTGCTTACATTTTAAATGGATGTCTGCCAATAGGACTAGATCTCCGTTGTGTTCATTTTCAATCATCTCGTCGTCCATGCTACTATGCTAACGCCACCAAGCTGCAATGATTTGCCGCCAATGAATCCCGCCGAATCTGTCAATTCATCTTGTAGTGGTGCGTCAAATGCAACGTAGATTCCCATCCAATTAGATTGAATTTGGTATTGATGATGTGAAAAATAGTAACTCCATTGAAATGATTCAAAACTAAAGTAACGAGCCAATTTTTTAAAATGTAAGGAGTAGAAAGTACAGATATTTGTGTAAAAATGTAAGGAGTAGAAGTAAAAAGTCGCCATAAAAATAAGTAGTAAAGTAAAGTAAAAATATCAGAAAAATCTACTTGAGTACAGTAACGAAGTATTTGTACTTCGTTACTTCCCGTATCTGTTTTTTATCATATACCTAAAAATGCTTACATTGACCAACAGCTGCTACAAACAGCAGTGAACATCTTAAAGAATCTGGCTGACTTGAAGCAGCTAATTCTGGACATTTCCAGTAAAAGCTCCTCCACCAATATATGAGGATCAGCTGCTCAGAACTGTTGTGGCATATTTAAAGGTTTGATCATAATTTTAATGACCTGATGGCAGTGAGAGTGTTTTATAGTGTACTTTCTAGGTTAAACAGTTTGCAAGACTATTGTTTCCCCACTTATTACAGCAAATAACAACCCAGTCTCATGGGAAAATGTACCCCCACTACGTTGGTCCACACTGCAAAACGTAGTGGAGGTACATTAATGGCCATTTTTTTGTGGTACTGTTACGTTTCTTCTGCCTATACGCTTTCTATTGTTTTACGTCCTAGTCACGTGACTTTCAAGATTCCAGCTGGGAGAAGAAAAAAATATACCGTAAATTCTCTAATATTGGCCTGTATTCCAATAGCGGCCGGGTCTCTAATAATGGCCGGTCTCGCTGTCAGAGGAGGTAAATAATGGCCGGTCTCTAATACAGGCCGGGGCTATAAACGTTTTTTCTGGGCATACCTCAACATTATACTTGTGGTAGTAAGTAACATACAAGTACCACAGCCCTGCGCAGCTGGACGACAAGCCCTGCTGCTGCCCGTCTGCGCGAGGAAGAGAACAGACACGCAGCAGAACAGGAGGAGCAGCGCGAGTGATGAGGAGAATAAAGGGAGAGATGAAGAGGAGGAGGAAACTGAGGAGGAGAATTAAACAGAATTGGAGGATTTTTATTTTTTTTTTTTACTTCAAACCAAGCGAGACATGGTAACTGTACTTTTTCAATAAATGAACCTAGTGTTTTATAGGTTCAAATAGACACAAAATCTCATTTTTATTCATTCCACTGGTAGTCTGTTTTGCTCAAATAGCAATAGAGGCCTGTCTCTAATACTGGCCTGTATCCAATAAAGGCCTGGACCGCGATGCACTTGAGTGAAATAAAGGCCCGGGCCTATATTAGAGAATTTACGGTATATAGATGGCCGACATTCGCTCATTTTTTTGTGGAAAGATTAATAACTTGAGTTTGTTTTTGCATTAAAATGAGTTTTGATTACATTTCTAGTGAGAAATGTATAGTTTGTTGCCAGAATATTTACTCAGGGAATGTACATATTCACTTGCTTGTTCGTTTCTTGCAAAGATTTTTCAAGATAATGTGAAACTGTAACGTTTTGGTATAAACATGGCTGAGATTTCTCTAACTTTTAGTGGGAAAATCAATAATTTCAATCAGTTTCTGCATTTAAATGGGTTTTGATTACATTTATAGCGAGAAGTGTAGGGTTTATTTACATAATATTTACTTAGTGAACATACATAATCACCCGCTTGCTAGTTTTTGCTACGTTTTTTCGGATCTCGTCAGGATTATGTGAAATTGCAACGTTTTGGCTGCTACCCAATCGCCTAGCATTTAGCTGCCGCCCCGATTCAACATTGAATTCTTTGTGATTTAACTCCATCTGACGGATCAAACCCTCGCCACTGCGTGCGTTGCGTCTGAGGTTGATTTTCAGATCAATGCATTACGTCGTGGCATACGGGAGAAACTAATTAAACTAGTTAAAAAAAGGATCATGGGTTAAGTGTTTTATTTGGAAATCTACCGGATCCTTTGTGCAATTAACTTCCTGTTTGGTGCGATCTCATTGATGGATTTTGACCAGATTTTGACCAAAGAGGAACTAAAAAAAACAAAAAACAATTTGAATACACAACCAGCATATCTGGAATCAGTGACAGAGAGCGACTGGGACCAGAAGTTTATTAATTTCTCCCCACTGATTTCCATTCAAAATGTTTTCGATCCCACCGAGCTCTAGGGAAGGGGCGGGCATACCGCCACCTACTGTTCATGAGTGTGTAGCAACATTGTTTTACATCTATTAAATTCTATTTTTTAATTTTGTATTCTGAAGATAAATAAATAATGCTTTCCTTAATCTATTAATATCTTTTATATTTCCTTTATTTCCCAATAATCCTTTAAGACTCCATTCTTGGCCTGTCCTTTCAACTCTTTTCAATTTCTTCCTTTCAGGTCCAGATGTTTTAAAGTTCATCAATACGTGTTCTATATTTTCTATCTCTCCACATCCTTCACATTTATCATTATTTTTCCTCCCTATTAAGTATAAATTGTCATTTAAATAAGTATGACCTACTCTTAATCTGGTCATTATTATTTCTTCCCTTCGGTTTCTCTCATTAATATTTCTATTTAATACTGACTTTTGTACTTTATATAACCTTCTTCCTTTTTTATCTTCATTCCACCTTTTTTTTTGCCATTTTTCAATTTCTTTCCTCTTAATAAATGATTTTCCTTCCCCTTTCCCTAAAGGAATTGTAATTGTTATTGCCTCCTCTAATTGCTAATTTGTCTACTACTACTACATTTTCCCACTTTTACCTTTTAAGGTTAGCATATTGACCAAAAGCTGACACCAAAAATAAAGCAATCGATTATGTACAACAATATGCTACATTTAATGAAGACTAATACAGATTTTACTCTCTTATAAGAATTAGTTTTAGGTTTTATAGGGGAGAGTTTGTATCGGCAGTCATCTGGGAATCTTTTATGTATTTACTGGTAAAGAACAACCTCTCAAGCCATTTAATGTAAATGTTGCGTCGAACCAGAAAGTTACTTGAAGAGCATAGATGCATAAATATATGCATAGCTTTAACAAGGGCCTCATGAAGGTCTGTTCTGTTATTCTCTTTTGGAGAATATAGACATTGTGGGCATTCA